CTCTTATAAAAATAAATTACTCCAATATATAAAAGGCATTTTTAAATGTCTGCAGGTATGGTGAAAAAAAATAAATAATAAAAAACAACTTCTGCACTATGCCCTTAGATTTGTCTAAGTTTAGCTGGTACTGATACGCTGCAGTGGTTGTGGTGCTTATTATGTCTTTTTAATGCTTTCATTGTTTACGAGGAACCAGGTTCATTGTGTGTTTGCTTACCTGTGTGTACATGACAACCCTGGTTCAACACGTAGAGAGGAGTTGTCATTGTGTGACTTCAGACTGCCATGCCAACCCTATTTGTAGCATTCAGTCCCAGGATTGCAGTGAAGCCCAATGGGGGATGAAGTCACCACACACTGCAGAAGTGCTGAGAGGGATGGGCACCTTCTCATTGAGGTGTGAGGATGGGGCACATTCCACAGTCGATATCTCCACCCCAACACTACTTAGAGGGTGAAGAAGGCACTAGTTTGATACTTGAAGCCATATGTTGTAGGTGATTGCTACAAAAGTGTTGAACACGTGCAGCACCTATTAAAATTATTTTTAATGTAATTGGAGAGGATCTACCCCTCTGTGCTACCTATAAGGAAAATGTACTCCTCAGAGAGCATACATCCCATAGAATTCATGGTGATCAACATTAAAAATGGTAATCACCCACCTCACTGTCCTTTAGGACAGTATTTTATAGCGAGGGATGGGAGTTCTTATAAAGCTCCAACCTACCCCTCTGTTTAACTTAGAGGCACATGAAAATCTTTGTTTTGAATGGGGGTCTTTTCTCTTTTGAACGAGGGGGTCACATGTTCACAGAAGCCACAGATGATCTCCAAGGTAATGATGATTGCCAGCTCTAGTGATACATTTTTTGTAAGATGATGAGCGGCTATGAACAAGACATTGAAAAGACATTGGAAAAAAAGAGACCCATTTTTTTTCAGTCTGAGATTTCATGCACCTCTCAAGGGTAGGTGACTACCATAAAAATGGCATTCACCTACTTAGTGTGTTTACAGTACAGGAGGATAATTGCTAAAAATTAGCTTCTGTCCCCTAAATACAGCATACCACATACACATACACACAACAACCCTCTTATGAAACAGGGGAGTTTTCTCTTTCAAACAATGGGTCTCATGCCCCTCTAAGTAGCAAGCGATTGCTAAAAGATTTAAAATGACTTTTTCACTACGTGACTTATAAAGTGTTCAGCACTCTACAAATGGTATAGAAACCTCTGTGTAAACACTAAAATAGGGTAAATGCCGCCGTGTTATGAATTCAATTTGAATTAGCACTAATTTCTAGATATGTATCTAGCCTTCATTTAAATGTAGTCACTCTATTACTACTTTCCTTGGTAGTAGTAGATTCCAAAACTTTACCACTCCCTCTGCAACAAAAAACCTTTATCTGTTGATAAATACACCTCTTTTACTGTAACCTTAAATAGGAATCCTCAAACTAATATGCTTTATAAAAATATTTTATAAATAGTGAAGTTGTTTTGACACATCAATCATCGTGACTAAAAAGTTTCTATTTATTGTTCGGATTTTCTACATTGCCGACGCTAACGAAAATGAAAATTATGCTTTGGAAACCACTGAATAGACTGGTGCCAGCCTCATTTATCATCCATTTGAAAACTCTCCTGTCTTATCCCATGGCCAAATATGCACACAGCAGTTTCCATTGCAGGGACTACCAAATATCAGAGACTTTGTTCCCATACGTAGCTTTACTCACCCCCATCTGTGGTCTGTCCGACAATTCTAACCTATTAAGCAAAGTGCAGAAAAAGCTCTAAATTACCAAAGAGGATTCTGCTGGAGCAAGCAACCCTATGCAATCGCTGCAAAACGCCTAACAGCCAGTGTGTCAGAGATTATATTACATATGGTACAGAGCAAGGTGACTTTTTTTAATTATAGTTAAGTAAAAGGCTTGTCATCTCAAAGCTGTATCAAGTATCTCACCGTCTGTCGTTAGAGTAGCATTTGCCAGAGAAATTATATTCAGTCTTTTTGTTATTTAAACTAGAAAAATATACTTTGTGTCATTTTGAAAAGCAAACAGAAAGCAAATTTGCATGTGTGCGGCACCATACAATTTACCATAACTCACTGAATGAATGTTTAATTGAGAATAAGATATGCCTATTCATTATACGCTATTTGAACAGGCAGATCAGGTTTCCAAATCCTGTAATACGCAGTGGGTGATGTCAGTGCATTTCCAAGTCTAACGCATGGTGTGACTGACAATGTGAAATTGTGAGGCCCATATTTTCAGGTCTGCAGGAGATACATGAAGACGTTACAATTCTGGGTAACAAATGCCACAAGTAATTCAGTCCCTTTGCTGAAATTGATACACCGAAAGAGATGCTGGAGACAGATACATTGCAATTCACTTGCTCAGCACCTCTTCCAGGATAACGCGAAAGGGAAAGGGGCTGGAACTCCAATCTGTCTTGGGAAGACTGCAACACATATGTCCTGACCTAAGATTAAAGGAACCTTAGAGATAGATGTAAACCTAGCCTTAATCCTAGTTCTAACTATAACTTTAAAAAAAAAAAAAAAATATATATATATATATATATATATATGCAATAAAAATACAAACTGTTGACCCATGAAATAGAAAAAATAATGGAATTACAAGTTTTGGAACCTTCATAATAAACAAGAAAAACATTTTTTCAGTGATTTATACATTTCAGTGGAACACTGAGATAGCATTATAGTCCAGTAGTACATGAACTGCATTATGTATGTTTAGGACAATTGTTCATTTAGTCTTAGGTTAATTCCAGGATTTTGATGATCAGAATTAGTGGGCATTGGACTCCAAGGTGCTAGCATTTGCTATTTGTAGGAAAATTAATTCAGTTTCTTTCTTGCAATGTTGACAGAGGAGCTGAGGAGACAGAATCACACTGTTTCTGTCTCCTCAGGTCCCTTGAGGGCCTAAATAAAATAGTGACAGTGGCTAATAGCAGCTTCTGTGGAAAAGTGTATCTTGAGTAGACCACACCATATATGTCCTAGTGCTCCCCAAACATTAGGTGCCCCTACACTTTATGGCTTCAGTCAAATTGTACGTTACAGAGAAAATTGCATATTTGGTTGAAAATATGATATAATAAAATGTATCATTTGGTAATTTCAGGAAATGAAAATACCTTTATTGGAGAAAAATCAGGCTGGTCAACAGAGTTATATTTTTATAGCTAAACATTCAGTCCAGCTCAAATGGATCTTTCAACACAGTAAATATGTTTATAAATTACTCATTTAGTGTATTTTTCTGTTACTGCCTGCAAATGTGAATACATCTTTATGTGTATGTTTATAAAAATGCTTTCAGAGGCACAAGTTCTAATAGGCAGCAAAATATTATAAATCATATCGTGTGGATTAGTCATTGCAGTTTCTGTATAAAGTATAAACCTTTAGAAAGTTGTATGTATGTAGACTTTGTAAGCAGGTCTCGAAGCTGAATGTAAATTTATGAGTTCATTTGACGATAGCAGCAATTTTCTATATTGCCAGATGGCACACAAGTGAAATTGTTCCAGATCCCTTGAGATATACGTTGACCTAGCATTGTGTAAATATGATTTTAAAATTCATTTACAAGTGTGCAGTATATATGCTATAAATTAGAGTAAAAAAATATTCAGTGTTATCCTATGGTTCTTGAAGCATATCAAGGAATGGTAATTTGTCCCAATCAATGTCAACTACAGATTAGGAGAATTACATGTTGTCTTCTATAATATATTGGACATAGTAAATATAGTACTTACCCCTGTAGAATGTGCAAAATAGTGTAGTATCAACTCCTATAGAAAATAAAAACACACATATAATATCAAAAACCCAATATTGGCTTCTATTCCATGTTAACATATTAAAACTAATCTTTAGAACATCATCAATGCAACTTTAAAGAATGCTATTTGAAAGGTTGATCTTTAAGGATCACAATAATAATATTGTCTATATATAATTTTTAATATTTTTTTTTTGTGTGCAGAGATTTGATGCCAAGAACTGTGGATGGACAGATAACAATGGAGAAAACGCCAAGTTATTTTGTTACGAATGAAGCCCCACAGAGAATTCATTCAATGGCCAAAGACACTAAGCTTATTGTGGTGGTTCGGAACCCAATAACACGTGCCATATCCGACTACACACAGACACTTTCCAAGAAGCCTGAGATTCCAACCTTTGAAGTTCTAGCCTTCAAAAACAGAACCCTGGGACTCATCGATGCCTCTTGGAGTGCATTGCGAATAGGTATTTATGCACTGCACTTAGAAAGTTGGATGCAGTATTTTCCCCTTTCCCAAATTCTTTTTGTCAGTGGAGAACGTCTCATCAGCAACCCAGCAGAGGAACTGGCCAAGGTGCAGGACTTTTTGGGGCTCCGGCACATTATTACAGACAAGCACTTCTATTTTAATAAAACCAAAGGCTTCCCATGTCTGAAGAAGCCAGAAGACACAGGAGCTCCCAGATGCCTAGGGAAGTCCAAGGGTCGTATTCATCCAAAAATTGACCCAGATGTCATACGGCGCTTGAAAAAGTTTTATAAGCCTTTCAATGCTATGTTCTACCAAATGACGGGGGAAGATTTTCAGTGGGAAAAGGAAGAGTTAGAATGAAAGAAAGACATGATATATCGAGACAAAGAGATACTGGGATAGATTGTGCTCTCTTGTAGTAAAATGGCACTCACTATGAAAACTATTTAAAAGATTGCTTAGAAGAACATCTATGGTGTAATGAGGGGGATTTGTTTGTTAAAAAACATGACCTTGTCTTACATATGTGATAGACATGTGAGTCTCTCTAGAGACTCACCTGAATTATTTTACATTTAAATGAATACTAACAGTAAGTGACAAGGTGTGTATTTGTGTGTGTGTATATATATATATATATATATATATATATAAATATATATATATATAGGCATGGGCCCAGCACCTGTTTTTTCCCCCAGGTGTAGTCTCCAGCCAAAGATAAAACACAACTTGAAGGTTTTATCTAGAAAAAGATAGTAATATAATAAAATATGTATACACATAAACACACACACACCTTCTTTAAAAGCGTAATCCACATGTCATATTTTGATTCTGTGTGTCCATGTGTATACATATACGTTGTATATGTATGCTCATAAACACACATGTCATCCACATGTAATTTTTTGATTTTGTGTGTCCATGAAACCTGTTGAGCATTGAGTGTATCTTATTCTAACTCTGCTTATAAATACATCGATCAGGCAAGCACCTAGGCAATATATGCTATTTTTCCAACACTTTAACATTGAGTGCAATGAAACAGGTTAACTTATGTACATAAAAACATAAAACCAGAAGTGGGTATGCTGTTGTAAAGGCACACAATGAATCTGTTTAGTTCTACATGCATTGTCATAGACCCAGTGGAACAGTTCCATCAAGGGTCCATCAAGAGACGAGTTTTAAAAATGTATTCCTAGTTCAGGCCATATAGGCTAATTAGACTTTTTCATTGACTTTTATAATTCAAGGGTAATCTTAAAAAAAGGGTTTTATTTGTGTCTCTCAGGGTTTTCAGAATTAAGGACTATCACACAGATTATATATTATAACTAGGAGTATGTTTCTAAAATATGGGTAGTGAATTTATATTTTCTCATCACAAGGGCTGGGTCACTTGAACATATTGTGTTTCCTATACATTTACAATTGTTGTATACTTCTAAGGCTGCTTTCTTATTGTCAGAGAATCCTGACTTGGCCCTTGCAAGACTAGCCATCCCTGGTGACCCTGAGACATTGAGCTAAAATATAAAAAAAAATGCTAAGCATGTGTAGCATGTGCTACAGCTTTTGATGCACTCCACATATGTTTGGTCCTGCATTTTAATAAAGGTTTCAGTACTTGTATACCTGTAGAGAAGTGTAGAGACCCAACGAGATAGACAAGTCTGTCAAAATGTCTGCCTACTATCTGTATCTTAAGGGAAGAAAATTAAGTAAATACATGTCATTTATGTATTATTTTAACATATGTACCTGTTTATTGTCACATTTTAATTTTCTATGGTACTTTAAAGCCTATTAGCCAATTTGAGAGTGTGTACAATATATGCTTAATTTCCACCAATTTAAATGCCCATTATACTTACCCATTATATATATTTTCTATAGTCATGTGTGTATGGTTAATTTTAATTTATATGGGGCAATGGGTGGATTGGCCCTCCAAAACATTTGAGAAAAATATTCAATAGTTATTTTTAATAAAAAAATAATTCTATATTTTTAAGAGGTTATATCGTAGAAAGATTATACAATTGTGCTAATTATTAAATTAACCAGCCACACATACAGCAAGATTTAGGAAACTCTCCGATGGCACATATTGTCAAAAATTTATCTCACGATAAATGATTCGAGAAGATGCTAAATCTATCAAAATGTGATAAAATATAGTAGTATGTTCACAAAAATCTATGTTTTTGGAACGTCACACCTCAAACTGTTCTTTATTTATACAGACAGTCCTTTGTTTCCACCTAGACATCTTTTCTAAACTAGTGTTGCCATAACTTTGGGATTAATGTGGCCTAAAAGAACTTCAATGTGACACTCAGTGTATGCTTGTGGGGGAACCATTCAATTTGGAAACTGTTTTTAGCAGCCATTAATTATGTTAGAAGAGTAAAACCCAGCACTGGAATTCTTGAAATAGCTGTTTCACCTATGAAATTATCTCCAAAGGAAAGGTAGAGCACGTATGTGGTTACATTTCGTTTGGTAAAGAATGGAAGCTGCTATTGGTTAGGCCAGGGATAGGCAACCTTGGCACTCCAGATGTTGTGGACTACATCCCTCACAATGCTCTTACATTCATAATGCTGGAAAAGCATCATGTGAGGTGTAGTCCAAAATATCTGGAGTGGCGAAGGTTGCCTATGCCTGCATTAGGCTATAGATTTGTGGTTTTGAGAAATAGTTTTACTGTTATGGAGAAGATGATGCAAAACGTACTGATGAAGATATTGGCATGGTGGAATAATAGGAGACTGATGTAGAGAGTGGATTGAGGGGTGATACGTGGGGGGAGGACTAGTATGGATGGAAAAGAGAGAACTCATATGGTAGAGTTGAATGGAACTGGCAATGGAATTGACAAGGGACTGGTATAGAATTTGGTAAAAAGTGGGTAACATGAAAGGTGGGATTGGCAGACATACATGAAAGGATAGACAATGCATGCAGAGAAAAAAATATATGAATTTGGAACTTGGAAGGAGAGGATTGCTAAATGGAGAAGGGCAATGGTATGGTAGTGGGAGACAGAGGGAGAATGAAGGAAACTGAATTTGAAATTGAAGTTTGGTGGAACAAGAGTGAATAAACAGTGGAAAGAGATATAGAGAGGGAGAGAAACAGGGATTATATATATCTATATATGTATATGAACAAGGCATAACGTCAGAATGGGGGTCTGATAAAGTAAATAAGGCATTATATAGATGAGGACAAAGGGGGAAATTAAATGTGATGAGTTTAAATGTGATGAAAGTCATATGCCACATGGATTAGAATATTTGGTGAGTATGTATGAAGCTTCACAAAACTTCAAAGCAATTAAACTTGTAATAAAGTATGCATAAACTAAAGTTAACATATACAGCAGTCTTTGTGGGCAAAATCAACTAATGAAATAGCTGTCTACTGTGGACTCAAATATTCTTAGCAGAGATTCACACATGCTCACATGCTCCCAACTCCTCACTAATGTTTCTAAAGCAATTCATACATATTCATATTTCTGGACATGTCAAATGTCTAGACACATATTGTTTATAATTAGAGATCAGAAACACTGGTCAATTTAAGCTTTAAATGCAAACTATTAACAGATTTGTAATTTCCAAACAACAAACACGTTTCGAGCTTCTTTCTAATGACTAATGCAGTTTTCTAGTTTAAATCTGGGTTAAGTCTGGACATAAATTTGGTGCAGAGTCTTGGCACATTCTGTTTAAATTTGGCTCACATCATCATTAAAAACAAGACAGTAGATGTATGTTTACATCATTAGCAGAGAGATATTTTTATCACAAAATCTTTTGCTTCTTAATATATTTCTTTAAATACCGAGCAGTTCATTTGTTAACTTTAAAATCATTACAATTTTATGCATTTATTTATAGCTACACTGTGAATGTTAAGAGATATTTATTGCTAAATCATTAGCAGCATTAATTACCCTTACATCATTAGCTGAGAAAATAAAGAAAAACTGTAGTGAGTGCTACATACCCGGTTTGAATTAATTCCTCATTCAATAAGTGTAATCTATTATATTAAAAATATTTGAAGATATTTATTTACTGAAAGTTCTAAAGATTCCGAATAAAAGTTTTATAAATGTATACATTTCATTATAGTATCTATTTTTCCACCGGTCAAGCTCACAGTATTAAACATAAAGGTTTTCATGTTATAGCAGGGTATTATCTACAATTTCTGCATGAAAGGCTTTCTAAAAAAATGTTGCACTTAAAGGGACACTGCAGACACAATAACCATTTCATTTAATTGAAATGGTTATGGTGCCAATAGTCCCCTGGTACTGTCCCTCCATTCAGTGTTAACATTTTTTGAGCAGTCGACTGTGATTGAGGTTGCTGGCTTCCAATAGTCCCGGCCCCCACACTGTGATAGGCTGAAACCAGTCAGCTGACACTCTCTGCCAATTGCAGTCATCCATTGCTGCTCAGGCTAATGCTTCTTCACTACCCAAAGCAGCATAGAGGGGATAGACTGCTGGGGACTCTTATCTACCATCAATGCATTACATATGGTTTAACACTGTATGGAAGAATGACACCACAAGATTCCAGACACTGTAGCCAGTTCAGTGAAACAGTTACGATGCCTATAGTGTCCCTTTAAAAAAAACAAAAACAAATTATATAATCTAAAGTAGGTATAATAGGATGTTCTAGGTATTGTTGAACTACAAACACCAATGATCAAAGATTAGGCTTTAGGTTGTAAAGAGTCATGTTCCTTGAAATGATACAACAAGTGCAGTAACATTTTTGCCACCCTAACCTAAAGAGTGTATATCATTACACTGTATTATGTTACAATGGTTTTTTATTCCGTTAATTTTATTCCAACGTTCTACAGTCACACGGTTAACACTATTCAGATGAAAACATTCATAAATGCAGCCTTCATAAAGTACAAATTCAAAGATTGTAATTTTGGACTGCATGGGAGTTGGGTAATGTAACACAGGAATATTCCAGGAACATTTTACAGCAAATCCAAGCAGAACTTAATCAGTAAATAAATAAAAAAATCACAAAATTAACTTGCAGCTACTGCTCTCATCGTGACAATTTAGAAAAAGAGTCTAGATCAAAACTGAGCATTAAAAAAAAATGCCAAGACATGAAGTTTTCTCTCTTATTAATTCTTTTGCTGTCACAGTGTGTTACAACAGACTGCTTGATCATTAATTGCAGTGCCTTCCAGTAGTAAATCAGTAAATCCAAAGGCATGGTTCCTCCCTGTGTGGTAGAGATCGCAAGATAGCTGGTGACAAGTTAATTAATTTGTCAAACTCAAATAGTGTGTTGGAATTGTGCCTCTTTGTATTATATTCTAGTGAAGAAATTGCCATTGTGCTACTGTACTTAAATGGAGTACTTCCAATACTGATATAGCCCACAATCTCTTGAAAACCACAGTGGTGAATGCACAGTCGGTAGTCTTGTCACTGCAAAAATAAATGTTAATTTCGAAGCTTCAATAGAAAATGCAATGCATGTTTTTTGGACGTTTTCCGATTCATCATGAAAAAAGGCTTGATGAATCATGAATTTGTGTTTCTTCAGAGTATCCTGTAACCCAGGGATGTGAAATGCTCATTTTGGCCCTCCAACTCATTAAGACTCCATTTCCAAGAATTGTGGGAAATGAAGTCCGGTCTTTCTGGACAGCCAAGATTGGACAGTCCTGGTTTAAACATTCAATTACATAATCCATATTTCAAAAAAAATATGCATATGTAAAATAATATTTTGTTATATATTAGATACATTGTTAGTGTATTCCTCTAGGCTCTAGGTTTGAAAACACATGTTCTGACTGCTTTCTGCTTTCTGTTACCCAGTGAAGACTAGAAAATGTTAATAAGGTTCCTGGGAAGGCAAAAATGTTCCTGAAATCTTTTGAAAAGTATCCTGTATGTAAAACTGTAAAGATCAACAAATCTTGTTTGCAAGGCTTGACGTGACGATTTCCCACTGACAAATTGTTTACAAACTTCAAAACCATAAATCTTTATTGACAATCAACATCTCAAGAGATTCAATGGAACCATGTTAGCTCTGCGATATTAGTTGTCAAAAAGAATAATATTTTTGAAGTTAATGGTAAATTTGTTCATATGTTACATTCACAAAAATGTTCAACCACAAAAACCTTTACATGTATATTTCTCCAAGCTAGAATGGACTATTTTACATGAAAACAGCAGATGATTTATCTGTAGTATCCTATCTAAGGCATCAAAGACAATAAGGCCAATGACGCAAGGGGAATAAAACACTTTAATGTGTAACCAAGACATGTCCTCTGTCCCAGTGCTGCATAAATAACTTTGCTTTTCTACCCCTTTCTAGATGCACATTTGCTTCTCTCGACTCTCAAAAAAGAAAAAAAACCCACACAACCAGCTTACATATAAAACATTGTTATTTATTGAAGAGAAAAAAAAATGTTACTGTATAAATAAAACTTATTTTCAGACATTGGATGTGCTTATTGATTTTCAAAGTCTTGTTTACAGAACGTTTGTTTCTTTCATTCTAAAGGCATGTTGGGAAAAGCTGTTTATTTGTATTAATGACTAGGATGTTAGCTAACCTCTTCTTGGGCATCCCGCAGAAAAGACCAGAGTGACTCCAGATTTAAAGATGTGCCAGTGGCTATTGTTGCTTTGAAACCGTTAATGGCAAAATTTAAAGCCCCTGTTTCTGTAGCTATAGCGCCAGAAGGCATCATTGTAAACCACACTCGGGGTATGAATAATTTTTGCTTGGCAGTTCATAATATTAAAATAATAATAAATTATGTGCATGAAGAGACAAAACCAATCCAGCCACAAATGTCTCTAAGAACAAAAAAGAATGGACAACTGGTTAACCATGAACAGTCATTTTAGCTATATTTGATTTATAGTAAAATAACTAAAAATGCAAAAATATAAGAAAATTAACTTGTATTTATTCAAATCATTACTGTGTTGTATTATTTTACCTTAATAACGTACTGTATTTATATATGGTTTAGTCATTTTAACCTGCCAAGAACTAATGATGCACCATTCAAGGTCAGATCCATCTCTGTTTGAGGCAAAATGAGGAACTACCCTGGAAACTAAGTAGACTGAGCACAGGGTGGCCAAAAGGTAAATTTATAGAACTATAACTTCCATGATGATTTGCTGGACTTAAGTTTCTGCTCTCCAACATAATTGTCCCTGTTGGAGAACAGAACCTTAAGCCTGGCAAAGGTTTCTACTGCTTGGTACAATGACATGTTGCTAACATTGCTGTTGGTGACTCAGTTGTTGTCCATATGCCAAAAATACCAGGTAGCTGACAATGATAAAAAGCCTTTAAATGCCTAGAGTGATCTAGACAAGGGAGCAGAATGTTCAGTGAGGTAGTTATTGTCCGTGTTCACGGTAATATGGTCTTACTGCATCTGGCCAATTGCTGACTTGGAACACATGACCTTGGATCTTGGATAACGTGACTGCAAGATGGAATTTTCAAGATTCTTGCTGCATTTGTTGGCGTGGCCTTCAATGCTGAGTAGGTCCTGCCTAAAGACGGTAAGGGATCTCCGCCAGGGAAATCAACTCTGCTCACTAATAAAAGCTAATGAGGCTATGATTGATGTCTGAACTTATTCAAAAGTCATTTCTAGCAAATAATTAAGCAATTTTATAGTTGAGTACTTCTAATTTGCTGATAAAAGAGGTTTCCCTTGCTGTGTATATGAATCAGGTGATGAATGAGAGAAGGACAACAGTTCATAATCCTTTTATAATTATCTACACAAGAATTCCACCAACAAAGAACATCATTTTAATATAGACCTAGACATTAATAAATGATAAAAATAAAAACAAAATCACATAATCTAGAACGAAAACAGAATCCACATTAATTTAAGTATAGTATTAATAGATCTGCAACATCTTCAGAAACTATTAAAGGACTTATTCACTAAACACCAAATTGTACTGAATTCAAAAAACCCCAAAACATTATAACCCCAATTTTGCTATTTGGTTTTCTCTTCTCAACAATTTTGTGTTTAGTGAATAAAAGTGAAAAGGGGGTGTACATTTTGTATTTCTATACTCTTGATATAATGTTTCTGCTTCCAGGTATTTAAACTAAAATATTTATAGATTTATCGATTGATATCCCCTCCACTATAAAATTTAGAATTTCCAAACTAAGAAATTAATCATTAATGCAGCTTTCTTTTCACCTAAAACTATGCAACCTTCCATAGCTGCATTATTCCACATTGCGTTAGGGTTTTTTTTACCTGCCATTCAATGTTAGCTATGTTAGAAATTCTTTGCTATCATGGTTTTCGAACACAAACAAATGATCCTGTGCTACTTTAATTTATAATTTATCAAAAAATGTAAAGATAGAATACAATGATATCGTGATCACAGGTAATGAAATCCAGGTTTAAGCTGATTGGTCTCGGAGAATGGATTAAATGTAAGCTTGATTTTTATCTACGGTAACCAGGCTAGCGATATGTGATTTATTGATGCTGGGTCTGTTATCTCAAAAAGATGGTTAATTGGTTGAACATTTGAAAGCGAACCCTTGTTTCAGATTCCCATTTATCATGGTATAAGTAGTGCTGGGCACTGCAGGTTTTGTCATTACTTTGGCTTGGCTTCCATGTTCTGACTTTGTTAGTCTTTGTTATTGAGTCCGAGCACAGTCGGAGGTATGAATTATTATTTCAGCTAAAGAAGACAAGTCATCTAAAACCTTAACTTTGAAACAATATCCATCAATAATCATCTTATTTACAATACAGTAAAGCAAACAGAAAAAAAAGAATATTCTCACTAACTAATACATAGACACTAAAAAAATAAAAACACATCTGGCAATTCTGAAAAAAAATCATATACAGGAGGGTTACATAGGGTGGGGGGCCTGGAATTGTTCTCCCAGTTGTGGCTGGGTGTGTTTAGAGTAGATAAAGCAAATTGACCCTTTCCCCTGTTTATCCCATCATAACCTACCATCATCAACCACACATCCTCCAATCTTTCCCTACAGTTATTTCTTCCATCTTTTCCCACCACAGGACCAGCAGTGAAACAACCATTGGGGCCCGCACGCTTGGGGGGGTGGGGGCATCAGGTGCCCCATGCACTAAGAACCAACCAATAAGTATTGCTGAACAGTGGCCGATTAACAGCGTGATCAGGCCCTGGTAGTATCTACAGCAGTGGGAGGAAGTGAGAGGCTGTCAAATTCTTCCAACTTCACAGAAAGCGCACCGCGGGAGGCAGAGTCGAGGAGGAGGCGGCACAGGCAGCATGGCTAGTCAACAAAGGGAGAGAGAGAGTTGCTATAGCCACACACTCTCAGCCAACAGCAGGAACCCAAGCAAGCCACCCTCCTGCACATAAAATATATGTTAACAGAAGGGTGGCTGAAAATATAAAAACTATAACATATGTATGTATCTATGTGTTTATCTGTGTGTGTATGTGTCAGTGTGAGCATGTATATGCCAGTGTATATATGTGTGTTAGTATGTTAATATGTGTATGTCAGTGTCTGTATAGTTGTGTGCCTGAATGTGTGTGTGTGTGTACAATGTGTCAATGTGTGTGCCAATGTGTATGTGTGTATCTGTATAAGTATGAATGTATGCGGCAGTGTATGTTTATATGTGCATACATCCCAGCAATTAAACACCAACACTACCTGCAAACACACCACTGTATTAAAATGTCAATATTAAATACAAAACGCTTTGATTCAAACACTACACACAAAAGTACACCTGCATTTATAAGCTAATGCTACATACAAACACACCCCTGCATTCAAACGCAAACATTACTGACTTGTATGCACTGCTGCTTTCATATAGCAATAGTGCATTCAAATACACCCCTATATCGGGGCGGGCTGGGCCGGGGGGCAGGGAGGCAATTGCCCCCCAGCCCTTCCTAAATAATTTGAAATACGGCCGCTGCTGGGCCTATCCTGGGCGGTGTGCACCACGCACAGGCACCAGGAGGTGGGAGGCGCAGCGCGGAGCAGACTGATGGCCTATCACGGGGTCCAGGGAGCCCAGAAGGTGGCCAGCTGTCCACCTAAGGGCGCCTCCATAGCAAGGCAAAGTAGGCACCTGCTTGTCCCAGATGGCAGGTGCATACTCTGCAGCAATACATCGGCCGTGTGGGGAAGCAGGTGGCCAAAACAACTCGCAAGTTGGGGACACCAGCATATTCAATTTAAATGATTCCCTGGTGGTCCACTGGTGCATACCAGCAGTTAGACCATATCCTCTCCCTTGTGGTTCCGGACCCTAGTTAGTGAGTCAGAGCACAGGCTCAGAGATTCTCAGCCTGCTCTCTAACAACATTGAAAGTTGGAGCCATGAAGGAGTGGGTATGGCAAAGAGCTACTGATTAGCATAACATCAATATCCGTTATAAAACCAGGAAAAGGTGGGCATGGATGGTGAGCTGATTCGGTGGTGCAATGGGCCACTTGACTGGATTTGCCCCCCAGGCCTGAGGCTGCCAGCCCTCCCCTGCCCTACATGCACACATACATACTTCATACATGCACACATACATACTTCATACATGCACACATACATACTTCATACACAAACATTATTTTAGGGCACAAACACTGTTTGCAAATACAACTCTGCAAGGATGGGCAAACGGTAGACCCCCAGCTGGCATAGTATCACGGGAGTTCTACAACAGACAGGGATCTACCTTTTGGCCTCCCTTGCGCTAGAGGGGGGCCCAACAAAATTGTTAATCTTAAAGTCCATTGTTGGTTTTAAAAGCATTATCCTACATAGGCAGCAGAGATCTGTTCATGTTTGTACAGACCTCTGTAGTCCTTTTGTAGTCAACAGAGTTTTAAACAGGGCTATGATTTCTCTGCAGATATATAGACAAATAAACAGGCAGGAAGACAGACAGACAAACAGATGGACAGATGGAGAGAAAGACATAGAGATAGACGGATAGATAGACTGACAGATTGATAGACAGATAGATGGACAGGGGGACAGAGAGAGACAAACCGATGGGTGGATGGAGAGACAGTCTAATGGACAGACAGATAGACAGACAAACCGATGGGTGGAAGGAGAGACAGACCCACATAAAGATAGAAAGACAGACAGATGAACAGATGAAGGGACAGTGAGACAGACTGAATAGAATGATATATAGATAGTTAGATAGACAGACAGACAGACAGACAGATAGATAGATAGACAGACAGACAGACAGGCAGATCTAGAGCCATGCAGCTTGCATTGATCCACATTTCCATCATCTATCTTACGATCTCTTTGCTTTAGGAAACTCTTCAGTCACTCCCTTGCTGTTTTCTCTATATGAATATTATATAATATTTCACAGAAAAACTAAAACTAAAATTAAAAAATC